GGCTGCGTGATGCCCAAAAGACAGCATCTTTACAGATGTTCTCCTTATCATTCCACTTTCCTATTTCTCTACCTTCTTCACTTCTTTAATGTTCCTGGAGCCTTAGAGGGGGGTAATACGAATGCTCTATTTTCGGCTGAGCATTGAGAGTTGCTTATCTTGGCATTCACCATCATTCATTGCCCTGAGAAACTTCTCTAAGATTCAGAGTAGCGTTTATATAACACAAATATTTAGAAGATAGCTTGGTGCTGTACCAATTTAGCTAAATGACAATAGTAAGTCCCTCTACCCCAAGGATCTAGGACCTCCTTAGCCATGGGTTTTTAATGAGATTTACTGTATCAGGCATGGATTACCTTTTATGGAGTAGGCCTCAGAACTAACCAGAGAGCATTTGGTTACCCTCATAACAGCTGTGCTGTTATTGCATCAGCGTACACGTTTCCCGTGGAAGGTTGGTATGGTAGTTCTCAGGGTTCCCAACTGGGTAAGATCACTGATAACTTTCCCCTCCTGGTGGTCTGCACTGCATTTTTCAGAATGGTGATTAGGAAAGACAATTCACTTTCTACCTTCCAAGACTCTCTTGTTTATTTATTAGAGGTCCCAGCTGAGTGGCGTTGTAAAGGGAAACAAAGGCATAATCTTCACATGGTCCAGAAGCACTCCTCAATACTAAAACTATAGGCTAAATGCCATTCCTCAATGTTTCCAAGGAGCAAGCATTCATTTAATAGTAGACAATAATATGCTTTTAATAAAAACTTTGATCATACGAATGTTATCATTGGGGACTGAAGAGATGGCTCAGTGATTAAGACTGCTTGTTGCTCTTTGAGAGAGCTTGGGTTTAGTTCCCAGAACTCATATACTCCAGCTGCCAAGATTCAACACCCTCTTCTGGCCTCCGTGGACCCCTGAACACACATGAGATATAGACATAGACATGTACACATACACATAAAGTAAAAAATAAATTTTCTTTGTTGAGCATCTATTTTACATTCTTGTCCTATAGATAATTTATTTAGTGACTAATGAGAGAAATTAAATCCTGGTAAGATAAATTACCCAAATTCACATAGAAAATGGTGATCAGAGTTGGTCTGATGTGTAAGATCATGTTTTTTCCATTAAAGCATCTTGTGGCACAGGGCCTCATCACCATTGTCACCCTCATTACCAAGGACTCCCCTAATTTAATGAATTATTTGTCAGGATAAAAATTAATAGTCCTCTTTTTGAAACACCTGCATTGGCATCACTGGTTAGTTCTGCTTGGCAAAATCTGAATGGGAAACATGACGTGATCTTTGGCAATAACCAGTTAATGATAGAAATATTCTGGAATCTATTTCCTGTATTTTCTTCCTTCATAGTTTCATGCTTACAAGCTCAATCTTGCTTTTTTTCCTCTTGCCAATTTCAGGACAATAATTCTTTATATAGTCATAGAACACTTGCAATGAGATTTTGGTTAATAATTTTCATTTTGTTTATCAAATCTAATATGAATTTGAACAGGCTTGTGAAGTATACCAAATGCAGACTGCATGATAACTGAAACACATTAAACTATCAAAGATAAGCAATGACAAGAAATTTGAGTATAATGAACTCAGAGCCCAAAACTGGGACATTAAAATATGCTTAAGCTTAGTGATAAATAGGAGGTATTAGAGTTTTACAATCAGTCTCTCAGTCTTGATGGAACGAGAATACTAATGATCAAGGTGTTGAAAGGGGGAAAGCACATAGCACTATTGCAAAACAGGTTTGGTAGACTCTGGAGGACTTGGATAAAGGAGAAAGATGAAGGTTTGAAGAGTCCATTTCAGTTTCCTTTAGCACACAGGCCCTTGGTTACTCACATTGAAGTCATGGATAGTGAAAGTTTGAGAGCATGGAACGCTCAGGAAATAAAACCTACTATGTGGCATCAGAGAGATGCCCAAGGTCTCACTTAAGTGCAAAGTTTTGATGTTACTAATTTAATCTCTACTAATCAGTACCAACAAACTGTTATGGTCCTTTCGGAACGTTGGAGTAGTGAAAGTATTTTAAATGTAAATATTAGTAACTTAAGCATTGAATTCCCATTACATACTCATCAGGCAAGTGTAAGTTACTTATAAGTACTCTCTAGGCTGACTTCAGATTTCTCCTTCTGCCTTCCCCATCTGGCTCGGGTATGCACTTTATCCACTGTCTCCCAAAGACAACTTCTTACGTGGTCATAGGGAGTCTCAAAACTAAGAAATTATATTAGGCACAGTACTGAGTAACCCATAGAACTTTAAAAAAAATAACACTTTTTCTAATAACACATAGCAAAAGGCAAAGCATAAGTAAATAATGATTGCTAAATAACAACTTAGAGACTTATTTCTCATTCAGTTTAGAAGTCACTAAGATTCAGTGAAGCATGTGTATGGGGGTATGTGTGTACCTGGAAAGTTCACTTCATGCAGTCATGCAAGGATGGAGAATCCATTCATCTGACAGAACTAAAATCTACTAGTGCTTCAGAATTCTCTATAGAAAGCCCTAAGGCCATCCAACAGAAAGCAAATAAAACAGCGTGTGGGATGATAGAGAGGGTTTTGACCTTTGATGTTGGATATGTAAGAGCCAAAGTCACTTCCATTCACATTTCATGGCTCCAGCTAAATGTGAGAAAGCAGATAAGTGTTGGTTAGTCATGTGTCCAGAATGAGGATAAGGAACAGAGATTTTTGTCAAATATTACTATTACCTACCAGAAAAGGGCCAAGGAATTCTCATCTTCGATGACAAAGTAGTCATCATATTGAGATGATGAAGACCAAATATCAATAGTCTAATAGATGTTCTCACATAAAATTTACATTCAAATGAGTAGTATTTTCTCACCAGCAATCACTTGGAAAAGCTGTGTATTTATTCCATGAGTACTACCACTGTCTTCCTTCTTTTTTTGACTCTTTTGTTGTTTTTTCTCAGTTCTAGAGTCCAGAATCTAGAACAAGTTTTGCTTCTTTCCAATACTCCAACAGTGGCAAATCTTGCTTTGAGGATGAACTCAATAATGAGTATAAAAACTTAGAGCCACATGAGCCAGAACATGCTGTACTTCAGTTAAAGCATGGTAAGTCACATATGACAGAATATGAGGCGTGTCTCCTCAAAGGACTACATATGACAACTCTCAAACAAACACTGGAAGATTACTGGATAAATGAAATGTTAAAATTTTTGACTGTATATTTTTAACTTTTTTACTTAAAATTTGTTTATTTTATATGCCAACCACAGTTTCCCCTACCTCCTCTCCTCCCACTCCCCCCCCGCCTCTTTTGTATCCACTCACCCCCATCAACTCCTCAGGGTAAGGCCTCCCATGGAGAGTCAATAAAGCCTGGCATATCAAGTTGAGGCAGGATCAAGCTCCTCCCCTACCACAGGGAATGGGTTCCAAAAAGCCAGCTCATGCACCAAGGACAGATCCTGGCCCACTGCTAAGGACCCCTCAAACAGACAAAGCCACACAACTGTCACCCACATACAGAGGTCCTGGGTCAGTCCCATGCAGGCTCCTTAGCTGTTAAGTCTGGAGTCTGTGGGCCCCCATGAGTCTGGGTCAGTGACTGTGTTTCTCAATAGAGATGTCATACAGACTTGAGGAAGAATGGCTGCTATTTGAGTCTATGAATTCTCAGGGTGCTAAAACCTTTCCTTAGAAAAGGAGACAGCCTGTGGAATATGGAGGGCTGTGTTGCAGGACAGGAAGAAGAAATATCTCCTCCTTGCATTAGAATGAAGCTGAGACCTCTACTCCCCATTGTTTACACTGTGGGTTCCTCTCTCCAGTTCTCTCTCTTTCTACCCCCACCCCAGTTCTTGCTTGTTAGTCTATTTAAGCTCCTGGTCTTCCTGCTGCAGGATTATAGGTGTGTGCCAGCTAGCCCAGGAAGCTATCACGGAGGTTACTATGGCTGGCCCATATTATCTTAACTAGTCTCATTTTGGGAGGGGAGGGGTATCAATAATTTATTTACTTTGTCTAGTTTTGAAAAGCATTCTTTAGGAGAAAAATTATAGTTGACTGCATACCATTTTCTCTTAAAAACCATCCAACATACAATTTGTCACATTACATGAGTTGATAATTGATAAAAACCAAACTATTTAGTGATATGTAGATGAAATATCATAATATCAAAAAATAAAATTTAATAGAATAATGAATGTGAAGACAATTTTTAAAGTTAAAAAAGCTGAAATTTTTATAAGATTCTTTGCAGCAATGAATAAAGATTCTTTAATGCATGGGTCTCACACTGGGAAGGTGTAAATCTTCACAGTTTGAAGGAATATGTGTGGATTTTTTTCTGGAGAGCCATTTGCCAATGCATATCAAAATAGGATAAATTTTGACCCATAGTGAATTCCACGTGATGGGAGCTGTCCTTCTGTATGCCGTGTATGCTGTTAGTATATGTTTCTCTTATTGGTTGGTGAAATAATGTTGATATGCTGATTGGCCAGTAGCCAGTAGTCTGGGGCTACCAGACTAGGAATGCTGGGAAGAGGAACACACACACACATACACACACACACACACACACACAGAGAGAGAGAGAGAGAGAGAGAGAGAGAGAGAGAGAGAGAGAGAGAGAGAGAGAGAGAGAGAGAGAGAGACAGAGACAGAGACAGAGACAGAGACAGAGGCAGAGACAGAATTGAGGGAGACACCATGTAGCTGTTGAAGGAGTAACATGCCGAGGCATTACGGGTAAACCACAGCCTTGTGGCAGTACACAGTTTAATAGAAATGGGTTAATAATTAAGAGAGAGCTAGCCAATAAGAAGCCCGAGCCATTGGCCAAACAGTTTATAAATAATATAAATATACTCTGTGTGTTCATTTGGGACTGAAGGGAGAGGGAGGCCAGGCAGAACAAAAACTCTATCCTCACCACTTTAGGAATTTATCAAAGAAAATAATCCAACAAGTATTTGATGATTTGATGGTGACTATAACTTTATTTGTGACAGTGAAAATGTGTGTCAAACAAAAAAAAACCATAAATGTATATTCATGTCATCCATGAAACATGTGACCCATTCAACTGCATTTTTATCAATAGTAAAAAGATGAAGTTATTGATCCTAAAGACCACTGCGAACAATAAAACAATTAAAAACTAGAATGTGTATATTTTATTTTATATTTCACATCTTATAGGGAAAAATAAGCCTTCACAGATGTGTAAGGAAAATGGTCAATGGTGAGACTGTTACTTTTCCTTTCTTTCTTTCTTTCTTTCTTTCTTTCTTTCTTTCTTTCTTTCTTTCTTTCTTTCTTTCTTTCTTTCCTTCTTTCCTTCTTTCCTTCTTTCTTCCTTCCTTCCTCTTCCTCTCCTCCTCTGTTCCTCCTTTCTCTCTTTCTCCTCTCTTCTCTTTCTGTCTTTCGATCTTTTCTTTCATTTTGTTCTTGCCTAAGATGGGTAGTTACAACTCACGGTCCTAGGAATCCCTGAGCAAGCATGATTGGTGAACTGAGAGTTGCTCTTTTTTTTCTTTTGAGACAGGTTCTCATTATGTTGCCCTGATTGTCCTTGAACTCACAGAGATCTACCAGCCTCTTCCTCCCAAGTGCTGGGCTCAAAGTCATGCATTCATGGCCTGGCTTCAGAATTACTCTTAAAGCCGGAGTCCAAATACCACTTCCTATTTGGAGCTTCCTCAGCCTTAGTCAAACAGTTTTAGGCTCTCTCCATATAGAAATCTGAGACTCCCTTGAGAATACCACCCACCTTTATTACAGAAAACAGAAACAAAAACCGCCCTTCAGTCAATGGATAAAAGCATCTGATTCAATGGCTCAGTGGGGAGACGGGGATGTTTCTGGAAGAAATGGAATGTGGCGGCAAGGGAAGAGAGCCTCTGATTCCATCCCCGCTGCTCTTCCTAGCTTTCCTTCGTCCATGTTGCAGTCGCTGCCTGGTCCTCTTTGCACCATCTGCTCTGAGTCTGCACGTCTGCCCTGTGAACTGTAGGAAACCATTAAATAGACAGGTTCTTCAGGCAAAACAGGTATGTGGTCCAAACCTGATATCCACAAATGGGGGCCTTCTGAGCCTAAAACTCACCTGTAACATGGAGACAACTTAGTCCCTTCCCCAGTGGAATGTGAACTCCAGTTTTGGACTGATAGAAGGTTCGGTAGACTAATGAAACTAACCTCTATAAAATGCTGAACGCACTGAAAAAAACGTTAGCTGCCCGCTGGAGAGATGGCTCTGCGGTTAAGAACACTGGCTGCTCTTCCAGAGGGTTCAAGCATGAAAGAGGTTCACAGACATACCAGCAGCATAAATGCCTATGAGCATAAAATAAAAGGTGTTAGCAATTACTTATTACCATCATCATTAGTTACTGCCCCTTAAAATAAGTTCAAGATGAGAGGGATATTGATAAACTATCACAAAATCTAAAACCCCTGCGACTGATGCAGGCTGCCATAGCAGATCTAGCAGAGGACCCCAAGAAGTTTTTAAAAAGTAAATAAAAATGCAGGCAGATGGTACACAGCAATATATGATTTTAAAAAATGAGATAGTTGGGATTCTGTCTTGTTGAGAGACCATCAAATTCTGAGTGAATGCTGTGTTGTTGACATGGACACAGACATGTCAAAGACCAATGCCTCTGGCCCACGGAGGTGGCAAAGCCTTCCCCAGAGAGGCTCATAGGCATGGCAAAGCATCCCTCTGGGTCCATGTGCAGATGCTGATCATGTGTGCAGAAATTATCCACTGTAGCTGGTCTCCATTCCCTCATGTTACAGCCGGAGCTTCCAAGGGGCCGCAGCTTCTCCTGAGAGCCCAGCCCACGGGATCCCACCCGTGTGTCTTCCTTCCTGTGTCTGTGGGCTTGTCTTTTCCTCATCGGCTCTCCACCCGTCAAGTCAATCCCTGGAGCCACGCTGGATGAGTCATCATCTCAAGCTTAAAACTTGGAAATGCACTCATTAGATTCTCGCGCTAAAAAACAGCGTAGAAGAGCGTGTTTCCCGATACAATAACCTATAAAGCTGGGATTCTTGTCTCCATCTCACAGAGGAGAGAAAGGCTTTGGAATGCAGAAAGACCCGTTGAAACTCGTGCAAAGGAGGAGCAAGGCTTTGCTGGGACCTTAAAGAGAACCAGTCCTGTGCACCGTTCTTGCTGCCCAGTGTCTCCGAGACATCTGCTATAGAGTGGCAACGTAGATGAGACAAAGACTCCCTTAAAAGCTGCATACTGGATGGTGACAACATAGCCCAGGCATCAGATCAAGAGCAGTGTCTGAGCCCTCATTGTAGAAGTTTATCTTTATCTCTGAAATTGTCTTATCCTAGACTTGGTCAGTATCCTTACATGATAAAGCTAGCTAGGGATTAGTGAGACAGGGGGAATAGGATAAATGGAGCCTGCCTATTGTTATTACCATGGTTTCCTGTGATATGGAGGCAACTTTGTTTGTTTTTTATAACATGAAAGTTTTTTTTCTCTTGTATAACTATTCTTGTTTGCTTGCTTGTGTTTCAAGACAGGGTTTCTCTGTGTATCAGCCCTAGCTGTCCTGGAACTCTCTTTGTAGACAGACTGGCCTTGAACTCACAGAGATGCACCTGCCTCTGCCTCCCAATCACTGGGATTAAAGCACATACCACAGTGCCAGGCTGTATAGGTCTGTTTTAACAATGCATGTGTCTCATTCAGAGACCATATCTGCATGTTTCTTTCCCCTTGGGGGACCCATCTCAGGGAAGTGACTCCGGTAGGAAAGCTGGGCTACACATGCCTCAGCCTGGAAGCTTCTCCTAGTATTCCTACGTAGTGCACTGGCTGTCCTACTGTCTGCTGGGCCCCCAACTGGGCACTTTGATTTTCACAGTGCCTCCTACTCCTGTCCAATCTGTCCAGTGGCCAACAGAGGGCGGACTGTCCCTTCCCTGCAGGCCTCCATCAGAAAGAGTCTGACTTCTTTTGCTATCTGCCTGTCAGCCCCCCCCCCCACTCCTACAGGCTGTAAGGCACTTTCCTTCCTGAACCGTGCCTTCCATGTGCTTACATTAGAGATGTTTACTAAGAGAGATGGGTCAGACAAAGTATCCAAGTGTCTTTTTTGTGTGGAATTCTTCTCTTTTTCAATCCATGTCTGTTCTAAGTGTGGATCCCTCCAATGGGCTGACAATCTGAGTTTAGAGGTACTCAGTAATTGTGCTATAACGTAATCAACACTACAATCAGGGGCACTTTGGAATGCTGTGGAACAGGTAATGGAATATGCTGAGGGTTATCAGAGAATGAGGCATTAAATCATATTCCATATAAGCCCTGATTCTTAATATTTTTTAAATGTCTTTCAGGGCCCAGCCTACTTTCTAACTTGCTGTCCAATGGTTAACCATGCGGAGCAGAACTACCCTTTCTTTGCCCTTAGTCTGGTCCCTGAAGGTGACATGATCTCACATATATAGGCATTGTCTCAGTTCTGGACACCTTATATCTTGCAGAATCCCAGGAAAGAAATGTTTTGACTGAACCTCTAGCTCGAATACTAGTCTCAGATAATCTGATAAAACCTTGGAGGTTTCTTGCTGGCCACTAGTTACTGTACTCAAGAATCCTATTCACTCTGATGACTTAATTCTATGACAAAGAACTAGGTGAGTCTGGATTGTTTTAAGTCAGTTCTTTTTAAGCCTGTCAGTCTTTCTTACCACGTTTCTATTTCTAAGTTTGTCTACCTATGGAGTCTCAAGAAGGATGGCTAGTGGCCTCCATATTGTTGCTTGCCCATGCTCAGATCTGTAGTGGTTCCCAGTTTTTAATATATTGCCCTAAAAGGAAAGAAAAGCAAATGCACAGTGTAAACTTTAGACAAAGGTTAGCACACCCCTTTCAAACCACAGTGTCTTTTCACGTTTGCCTCTTCTCTATTTCCTGACCTTGGCTTTTCCCAAGTCTAACAATGCTATCGGCTGTGTTTTTAATAATGTCTTCATTCTTGCATTTGAACAGAGGAACAGATAACCTCTGTAGGGGTGGAAGGGATGTTCTAACAAGGTCCAATGGTGACAGTTTGTTGGCAAACCCCACTGTGAAGCGCTGGTTGGTGCCTTCTTGAGCAACAAGACACAAACATTTATTATGTGCTTTAATATTTGGTTTTGCTAAAGGAAAACCTAGCAAGTTGTAAATGACTTCACTCCTTATTTTATTTATTTTATAGGGCTACCTTTGGAGATTATCTAGTTTGACCATGTAAAATGTGCCACAAATGCCTGGAAAATAGTCACCCCAACAGCAGCAGTTGAAACCCCCAAGAAAAGGGGGTGCTCCTGCCCTCTTTCCAATATTGAAGTTTCCCTATGCCCTCCTTCTTCAACAATCAGTATAATTAATAAAACATGTCCTCTCTTCAGCACAAACGTTTAGTTTTCTGATGTCATTGGCTAGGGGAATATTCCACTGCTGACTTTGGCTTTTTCTTTTTCTTTTTTTTTTTTTTTTGAGGACTACCGTGGTTAAACCAAAATATTCTCCAGAAGTGCAAATCTATTCTACAGACAAGATTCCAAAGGTATCTTTGTGTCCTTTCTCCTTACATTGGTGCCATTAACTCTTGGTTCATTAGTCACAATGTTCCTGGTCTCACTGGCTGCCACCCATCTGCAGCAAGACCAGGTCAAGCAGCCGGGCCCACTTCAAGCCTGCCACAGCACCAGACCTGCTTTACATAAGGACCCAAGTCACTTTGTTTGTTAATGTATTTTATTTATCCTCGCGGGGGAGGGGGGAGACTAAGGAACCTGTGGGAGGACCCCTGTTCTATCCCGATCAGTGGTCAGAGCCATCGCTGGGAGAATCTCCTGTTTAATCTGTTGAAGGGAAACCCTCCACACGTGCGTGCATACTGCCTCCCTTCCGTTGTTTCCTGGCTCATCACAAAGAGTATTTTACCACATATCTTCTTTTTTAAATTAATACACGCACGATAAACCGTAAAGAAGGCCAAATGGGAGGAGGGGAAGGAAAGCCCACCTCTTTTACTTACAAGCTGGAAAAACAGAACTGCAGTGTCAGGTGGCAGGCATGGAAGGATGCATAAGTCTGTCTCCCAGGGTAGCGTCTTGTCAAGACTTGTAACCCAGTACTGAGCCTTACTCCAGCGGGAAAGGCTCAGCTCTGTTACTTTCCAGCCACCCCTCCCATGAGACAGCACCTCCGCACAGACACACAGAATGTACATCGTTAAAATTCAGCCGAGCTACAAGCCCTCCCCAACCCTATCCCGGCTCAGAATATTCACCTAGCCCATTTAAGGCACTCAAACCCACCAGCAGTTTGGCTGGAGACGTCTCGGGCTTCCCAAGACTCCATTACATAATATCTTTTTTTACAAAGTCTGTTCCCAGCTCGAGTGGAAGATGGATTCTCGTCCAGTTTGCGGAAATTCCACGCGTTCGCCTCCCTTTCCTGGGGTTCGATCCGGCCAGTGCCCAGCCTAGGCTGTAGCAATCCGGCTAAGGATCCCTCTACTCTCTTAAACTCAGACAACTACCAGCCGGAGCCGCAGCCGTCCCGCGCCCACGGCGCTCCCAGGCTAGCCCTCGTGGGCCCGGTGCCGGCGGGGACTCGCGTCGCTCCCACTGTCTCAGATTGCCGGCCGCCGCGCGGGGCCCGAGCCCGGATGATCGGCCGCTGCAGGGCCGGCTCGCTCGGTACGCCGGGGCTGCGGAGAAAGGAGAGGGGGAGGAGGACGAGGAGGAGAGGAGGAGGAGGAGGAGGCGTGGAGGGAGGAAGGGCCCGGGCAGCCCCGGAGGGAGGCGAGGGGGAGGGGAGGGGGCCGGCCGGCCCGAGGGTGGGGGGGCAGCCAATGAGCGGCGCGCGGCGCGGGGAGGGCGGGGTGCGGGGGGAGGGATGAGGTAGGAGGGGGGAGGGCGCAGCCGGAGCGGCGGAGGCTCCAGCCATAAACAAGCGCCCGGAGGAGCGGCGCGGGAGAGAGGCGAGCCGGGCGCACGGAGCGGACGCCTCGGACCCTTCTGCTGCGCTACCGCGCCCACTCGGCGGCTCGGGAGGCGGGGACCGGCCAGGAGGCTGCGCTGCCGTCGCCTTGACCGGGCGTTCAGGAGCCGAGCGGAGGACCAGAAGGAGCCGCCAGCCCTGCTCCGGAGAGGAGCGGAGCGCAGAGCCGCCGCCGCCAGAAGTTTGGGTTGAACCGGAGCTGCCGCGAGGAAACTTTTTTTCCTCTTTTCCCCCTCCCGCCCGGGGAGGAGAAGGAGGAGGAGGAGGAGGAGGGGAAGCCACCCCCGCCACCGCTGCCGCTGGCGCCAACGCTCGTGGGCTCCGGGTCGGCGCGGCCCGCAGGGGCGGCGGGGGCCTCGCCCCGCGAGGGGAGGAGCGCCCCGGGGGCCCCTAGCGGGGCACGAGGACCGCGGGCTGCGGGTGCGGCGGCGGCGGCGCGTGTGCCCCGCGCAGGGGAGGGCGCCCGCCCCGCTCCCGGCCCGGCTGCGAGGAGGAGGCGGCGGCGGCGCAGGAGGATGTACTTGGTGGCGGGGGGCAGGGGGCTGGCCGGCTGCGGGCACCTCTCGGTCTCGCTGCTGGGGCTGCTGCTGCTGCTGGCGCGCTCCGGCACCCGGGCGCTGGTCTGCCTGCCCTGTGACGAGTCCAAGTGCGAGGAGCCTCGGAGCTGCCCGGGGAGCATCGTGCAGGGCGTCTGCGGCTGCTGCTACATGTGCGCCCGCCAGAGGAACGAGAGCTGCGGCGGAGCCTACGGGCTCCACGGAGCCTGCGACCGGGGGCTGCGCTGTGTCATCCGCCCCCCGCTCAATGGCGACTCCATCACCGAGTACGAAGTGGGCGTCTGCGAAGGTACGGCCGCCCCGCCGCGCGCCCCCTCCCACCTGGCCCGCGCCGAACAAAGTTTGCCTGAGACTTTTCCCGGAGGAGAGAGGGTTCCCGGGGAGGAGGCACCGTCGCTGTCCCCGGGGAGGGTGCCCTAGATGCCCGCCCAGCGGCGGGCGAGGTTGGGTCTCGCGGGTGAGCCCCTCTCAACCCCGCATAGACACGCACGCGTGCAGCGATCTGGGCGTACACTGGGTGGCCCTTCCTCGCCCCCAAGCAGGGGTGCCGCGTTCGGGGGGCGCTGCGGGTGGCTAGCACGCGCGAGCCCCTCGGGGAGTCCGCCCCTGCCCTCCCTGGCCGCATAGCGCAGTGTGGCACCCAGGGTCGTAGGCAGTCCGCGCAGCCGGCTTCCCACAGCGGTGAAGACCTGTGCTCCAGCTTGCTCTCACTGTGTGACTCTTACTGTTTTTTCCTTTGCGCTCTTCCTTCACCTCCTTCCTCCTCCGCGTAATAAATCAGTTTCAGCTCCGGAATATGTCAGCCCAGGCGAAGTTACACATGGTGGTTACTCATTTATGTGCCTATTGGAAACGGCCAAAGGCTTTACTCTTCTGGACGGCTAACGGGGGTGGGTGGGGGCTGCACCTGGATTGAAAAGTTATGGCTCACTACAAGAGGTTTCCTCTCAAGATCCAACATCCGCGCGTTTCCTGAGCTGGTGCTTATGTCTTTTTGTTTGCTTGACAGCAGTGTCTGCTCTGTTGGCTTCGCCGTGGCGCATTGTGTAACGGCGGCGGTGTGGAGGTGTATGGAGGGTGGGGGCGTTGGTCGTGGAGCCTCCCTGGTTGGGCAGCTATGGGCCTCCATCTGCCTGGGGCTGTATTTCTGCCTCAAGGTGCCTGATCTGTTTGAGGTCTAGAGAGATGTGCCGAGTTCTTTTATTTTGCTAATGGGCAGGATTTTCTGGTATAAGTGGGGTCCCTGCCTCCTTAGAGCTCACACGTTGGGCCCACGATGCTGTCCAGCGAATGAGCAGGGCTCAGCAATCTTTCTGGGGTAGTGGCTAGGAAGAGCAGCTGCGCTCTGCTTTCCCCGCTGTCAGCCAGCCCCTGGGACATGGGTTTACCCTGAAGCATCCTTATGTGTGTGTGTGTGCTTGTTTGTTGTGCTGGGGTACCGAGAAGGAGGTGGCAACCTTAACGGACAAAAGCGGGTGTATTAAAAGCTTTCAGTGCCGTGGTAACTCCTTAAATACACACGCGCATTTATTTTTACCCATGGTTTTAAGGTTTTGGACAGTTAGTGGAAAATCGGGGAGGCCTTCCGGATTTGGAAGCTAGTGGGCAGTAATGAGGAAAGGTCCGTGTTCCTTTTGGAGAGTGCCCTCATTTTCCTGACACCCAGAAATGGCCCTCCTGGTGTTCTTTTACAACGTGGGTTTGTTTCTCAGCTCAGGGAAAATGGGCATCAGACAGACAGATAGACTGTCGTGTGTTTTGACTTTAGGCGTTCTAAATGACTTAGATTGAAAGGCGCTCTCCCGAGTGCCTGACTTGACCCAGCCTCCCACAGAAATGTAAAGGATCATGCTTAAATGCAGTGGGAACTGCGGGCCAGTGAGAAAGACTTTGGAAGGCTCGGGAAGAGTGTGACCCTTGTTTGTTTTTTCATGTGTTTCTGGTGAAGGAAATGCTTGGGGGAACATTTACAGTAATCAAGTGTTTTGGCAGCAAAGCCCGTGTCACAGTGTGGAATGGTTTTGGCAGTTGCTCGGGAGCCTGTCATTCCTCTGAAATGATGCATCCCTCACGTCTGCCTTTCCCCTGGTAACACCAGGTGCGCCGAGGGCTGGCCTTGAACATGCTTGGAAGTGTTTCTGACATGACTGCCTTTCAGTTTGCAGGCCTTTTTCTCAGCTGAAGGCTATGGGCACATCCTGCTCACCCCCTCCCTCCCTCTGCACCCTTCCTTCCTTTCCTGCCTCCTTCCCTGCCTCCTTCACTGCAAGCCCAGCAGCCAAAAAGAATTTTAAACCCATGAAACCAGTGTACAAGAGACAGTGTTTTCTGGCATGATGTAATGGTAAGATTTAGAGAGGCCTTTTCAACTGTGTGTCTAAAATTTCAGACATTTTCACATTACTATAAAATATATGGAACATGTAAGTTAGCTGAAGAGCCCCTTTCCCTTTTTTTTTTTTTTAGGATTAGAATCACTAATTATCTAGAAGGTGCTTCCCCCATTTTTTCTTTTTTTTTCCTGTAACTTTGCATAAAATTTCTCAATGGCCTCCCTCAGTTTCCATTTTTATTCAGAAATTCGTGTATTACCATACCTCACGTGAATAGGAACGGATGTATTTTATTCATGTTGAAAGTCTCTCACACTGCATTTTTTTGCGCTAAAATGACCCCTACTGGCTGTATCTGTTAATGAAAAGTCTTTCGAAAGCTTATTTAGTTGGCTACTCTGAGAAAACACATTTCATGCCATAAAAATATGACTAATCCATCTGCTCTCGAAGACATGACTGAAGTACAAATTTATATTGCTGTTTGTCAACTTGCTGACACGCTTGTTATTCCGTTACTGACTTTGTTGGGGGTTGGCAGGGAGTGGTGTTTATAAATACAGTTCACAAAATGATTTGGGTCAGCAGCCAAAATGGACCCTTTTGCCCACATGGCTTATTGTTTCGGGTCTTTATGTCACACTAACACTTAAAAATACATGAACAGTCCTAGCCATGAGAAGAACCCTGACGAAAAAGATTAATTTCTCTAAGACTAGGAATCAAGACCTGAGAACTGAGTGCCATGTTCACTGGGCTTCTCTGCCGTGAGAATGACGTTAAATAAACCCTGAATTAGCGACTGTGCACATTTGAAAGGTGGAGGATGGAGCCAGGGACCCAAAGTTTTCTCTCCCTCTTAGCAAAGGCCTTCTTGTCCCGAGGAGGGAGCGATTCCCTTTCCTGTTACCATGGGTCTCCAGGGAAATCACCTCCAATCCAGAGAAACAAGGTTGGCTTCTAACCCTCTGGATGGGAAATCTCTTTACGTTTGCGAACTCATGAAGTGAGACTGTGCAGAGAGAATGTTTTGATTGGACAATGGGCACTGTATTTGGAACTGAGGGAAGAAGGCCTTGTATTTTATGCTTCACTTAGGGTGGGGCAAGGCGGAGAAGGGGACCAGCCCTTGTCTTAGGGTGATAAAGAGGTAGCCACAGGCTTGAGCCTGACCTTGTGGGGACAGATTACTTAGGGACGGTGTGGACACCGTACATCTTCTCCCTGCAGACCTGCTGGTGTCCATGACCGCAGATGCACATTTTCTGAGGCTTTCCCTCTGTGGCCCCAGTCTGTGTAGAACAAGTTTCACCATTTTCAAAACTGCTGCCAATTGAAAACCTCTGTCACAACTCAGTTTTCCCAGTTACTTTAGTCTCCTCTCCCCTGTGGGTCACAGAGCGGAAAGGAGAACCTAAGACCGTGTGGCGGGAATGGGAAGCAATGAGCAAGGTTTTGTGTCCCGAACCAACTGGTTGTGTGAAGTTCCAGTCCCTTCACTTGTTCCCCGGGACAGTTAGTAGCAGAGATGCCTGCTTGGAGAGCGTGGGGGTGTGTGCGAGGCGCCCCCAGAGAGCAGTTGCCCAGGACAAGCAGACATACCAAAACATTTGGCTGGGCACGAGGCACGTGCCACCGCCCCTCTTACTCTCCGGGAGGATGTCAAGTTTAAGGTCTATGGATTTTTGCAACTGAAATAAAGGAGAGGCAGGGCAAAGTTAGTGCTTCCATACTGAAGTTAGAGAAACTTCAAACCCATGGTTCCAGACTCTTTGCTTTTGAGCAATGCTTGGGTTTCATTCTCTACCTCAGAAGTCTTTAGGTAGCATCTGTGCTTTGATGCCAGGGAGAAAGACAAGCAGAGGGCATCCAAAACATGCTAACAGGG